AAGCCCTGGACCATGGTGGGGGAAAGGCACGGGCCCTCAAACGCTGAGTCCTTCATTCCGAAGCCGTTGCTCAGGGTCTTCCACGCTCCCTGAAGGTGCTCCATTAGTAAAGCCAAATGCACTCAATGGTCTGGAAAAAAAGAAAACCACACACAGTATAAGCAGTGCAAGGGCTTCAAAGCAAAGTCTAATCAATATTACATTAGTTCTCTTACTTCTTTGGGAGGATATTGGTGGTGTGCAGACTCAGTGTTGAAGTGTAAAAGAGTAGTCTGCAGATTTAAATAGAGGGTAAATGATTTTCCACCATGAAAAAAAGTATTTAAGTTAAATTTGCCAGACAATCTTTCTGAGGATGTACAAATGTTTAAATGCATAGTCTCAACCTAAATCTATCTATAGAATATCAAATATGTAGCTTCAATTGTGGCATTTTTTTACCACTGAAAAAGCAGCTGTGGTATCACAGACAGAAAAATGTGACAGACCAAAGATGTGTTAATGTATCGAGAACTTGTTTGATCTAATCTCAGAATGCAATCAAACCTCTCATAGGACAATGCGATTAAAGCGTTTTACTGGGTTATATCTGTAGCTTAGTAGCAAACCCTATCAGAAACGTGAGAGAAAAGTCAAGCGAATGTGTCAGTCGGACCAGTTTATTGTTCCAATGTGCTTATTAAACTCTCAACCCTACACTATATCACACTATAGTAGTAGTTGAAGGAATACCACATGTGCTTTTTTTAGGATTAAACTAGCCATTGTCCTTTCCCTTTCATTGTAGGTGGAGCAGCAGAGCTATGTAGACAAACTAATCCACTCAGACCAGGAGAATCTCAGGCCACCACAGAGGTCAGTCGTGTTATTTACAGTATATGCTTTCAACAGACTCTTTCTTTCTGCATGGTCAGGCAGCAAAAGAAGACTAAAACGTAACAGTTTGGATCATACAAGTTTCACACATTAGGACTATTATACAAAGAGATAAAGGGAAGGAATAACTTTAAAAAACTGGTTAACTAAACAAAGAAATATGTGCTTCTTCCAAACCAATGTTCTTTGTCAACTACTCAGTGACTTGAAGAAAAAAACGAATTAAGTTGGACCTACCCGTCCTCAAACAAATGTGATCCCTCTTTCACTTTGATTTCAATACAAAGAGTTAGTTCAACTTGTATATCCAGAAGTGTCACTGATTCTTGGTCTTCGTTTTAATTGTGTATACTTTTACTCAGCAAAACTCCTAATTATCTCTGGTGTGTCCCAAACAAAGACCTGTTAACACTGAGGAGATGATTTACTGCAGTTAGTGGTTACCTGTCACAGCAGACATACCAATGTTTCAGAAAGTCAAGAACTTGGAAGACTGTAATTCTTCCACTCTTCCTAACATGATACAGGAATCGTGTTCAAAGCAAGCACTGTGATTCATCCATAAAAATGTGTATCAACAGTAAATGTGAAGTCCAGACTTTACTCCTCTCTGCTTAGATCTGTTCTACATAACAGGTCAGTCTACATAGCACAGTCAGCTATAAATTACCAGCACAATGGTTTCATCCACAGCAGAGTTTCTATGACTTCGCTTAAGTCTTTAAAGTCATAGGTAAGATCAATGTCAGCACATCTTGGGCAGTGGTGCAAAGTAACTAAGTACATTTACTCAAGTACTGGAGTCAAGACACTTTTGAGAGACTTGCACTTTACCTGAGTATTACTTTTGTGTTGCTACTTTGTATCTGCCCCACTACAGATCAGAGGTAAATAGTGTACTTTTACTCTATTTACTTATACACTACATGTATTTAATAAATGTAGTTACTTTGCAGATTTTGATTAATGATGTGAAATATAAACAACCATTAAAAATGAGTAAATTCACAAGCTACCCTACAGTATACAAAGTAAACTTCACCCTTACCAGCTTTGATAAACACAATAATTATAACCAACACATGTTATATATCAATCTGGAAAAGGCCAATCTGCATCATGAGTACTTTTACTTCTGGTACATTTTGATGCTAACACTTTTGTACTTTTACTTGAGTAACATTTTGAATGTAGGACTTTTACTTGAAACAGAGTTTTCCTACACTGTGGTAGTTCTACTTTTACTGAAGTACAATATCTGAGTACTTCTTCCACCTCTGATTTCAGGAGAGTTGTGTAGAGAGGCTCGCTAAAGTGACTTTTGAACGGCTTCAATTGAGTTTCAATAAATCCAAACTTACAAAACATACTAGTAAACTACGCCTACCACTGAAAGGCGTGCATGATTTAGGCTACACAACCACAGAAGCTATTAGTAGCTACGTGTGTTTTTATAAGGCCTGGTAGATCCAGTTATTGCTGTGAAATTGCCTGAAGGCCCTCAGCGGCAAACTCTATCGTTAAACTTCACTGCACATTCACCCTCCATTCAAATTTCACTTGTTCAAGCGATGCATGTCGTGGTCATGTGTCCTAAGGAGAAGCAGTTTTACAGTTGTAGTTAACATTTCAAACCCAATTCAAAAGAGTAGCCATGCTAAGAGCCAGTAGCCTGTGTGTGCTTACCAAGAGAAGTTAGAAAAGTTGTGCTCCGCCATAACTTCAGGAAAAAGTGGCGTCGGTGACATCATCATATTTGCAACGCATTCAAAGAAAAGGGAAAAAGTCGAACTTCTAAAAACCGTAAAGTTGTATCAAATAACCTTGTATCCGGTAAATGTTGCAATATTGTTGGACGTGAAGGTCATAGGCTTGTCGCTTTTACGAGCCACAAAATATAATAAGAGGAAAAGTTTTATATCCCAGTCGTGATACAAGCGAAAAAATCCGTCGGACCCTCAAAGTGACACGACGAGGGATACTGTTAAAGTCCCGTGAAGCACTTTCAAATTAAAACTCCCATTAGTTGCTCGGCACGTCCTTGCTTTTCAATCAATATTTACGTTGTTCAGGAGAAGGTGAAAAGGTTTGAGTTGGTGTCGTGCGTCCGTCTGACGCCAGTGATTGAAACAGGACCTTGCAGTCATAACAAGAGTTGCAAGCATCCCTCACACTGCGCAACTATAGCACAATTTAATCCCTCCCACTTTGTTCAAACCGCTGTTTTGGTTATTAAAAATAAACTGCATATTTTTATAGTATTAGGGTCTTTATACAAGGTCAGACTATACATAATATACTATAGTTAAAGTCATATTGGGTAGCCACTACGTTGCAAATGAGCTCCTGGTGTCTTTTTGTTGTTGTTGTGGGTTTTTTGCAAAGGCTAATGCATGTGAAACAATAATATAGTTTTTCGTGCACTTTTGTTAAAATACAAGTTGCAACAGTATCTTTTGAAAAGCAAAAAATCTAACCACTACCGGTTTGGAGTAAGGGAGTAATCCATTATTAACTTCAAGTGCACCACCATCTGGATACAAAGGGACAGTGCAGCGTTTCCTTGGATTTCTTTGGAGCCTTCCTGAAATTCATGACAGTCATGCTACATTTTACATATCTGGTCAAAAAGACAATAAAGAGTCCATTTGAAGTATGGCATGTAGGCTATAGAAAAGTATTCAATCTAGTTTTAAAGGTGAATACATATTTTTTTAATTGATAAAGGTTCATCATTCTTTAATTTGTTGGATATGAATGGCTTAATAAATTAAAACATCATCATCATCAGCTTTATTTAAAGAGACTCTTGGTCCATTATTAAAAGACATACAATACTAAAAAAACAAACAGACTTTAAACTACAGCTTTTGTTTGCCAATGACATACCAAACCCAGAAACACTAACATTTTTAAACCGTACCCTTTACACTCACCATGTGTTCATCATCTCCGTAGCATCCCGGTGTGGGTCCCCTGAGGTACCCGGATTACAGATGGATCATAGGTCCTTTCAGCCAGATGGAGTTGACATCTGAGAATAAAACAGCCTTATCAACATCCTGGTAAATATGTCTTAGGTTTCAGCATACATTGTTTCCATAAAGCAGCAGCAGACTCCAGAAATCCAAATCACAAACCCATGTTAAATTGTATCCTCCTTACAATGTACTACTTTTCTAAAAAAAATTCAATTTTCTAACAGATGTTCCATCTGACAAATAACAGAAATGCCAAACACTGTTTCGGTGAAGATGAGGGCAGGGCTTTGTCATTGAGCGTTTTAAGGTACTCCACCCCACATGCAACAGTATTAGTGTATTTCAGTCATTGCTGGATATTATGGTAAAACATCTCCTATTAAATTTAAAATGATGCCACAAAGGATGTGATATTTGCCCTTCTTTGTGTTTAATGTTGTGAGCTGCAGAATAAAGACCACAGAAAATAATAATTGCTATGACAAAGCTTTACAGTGAAAGCCACCTTAAGACTGCTGAATGCATCTTTCCCACTTATTGATCGGACTGAGCACTCAGGCAGTTAGCTGAGATGCTTGCTGCTCCCATGGATTGTTATCTCTATCAGCTCACTTGTATTCAAAATATGATGCAATCAGGACTCCTTGGACTTTCATTTAGTAACTCTGATATAGACCCTTCTTGTTTGAGACACAAATAAGCTGTTTGGTATACAATATAGTTTAAGATCTACTTCGATTTCATTCTGTTTTTTTTCAATTAATTACACTTTGGGAGAAGTGAAGAAATCAAAGAATGTTTTTCATAGACATCTTATTATTACTGTCATTTAATTAATTAGTTAACTTTTCATATTTTCTGAAACTATTATGAATGATTATATTATCAATATTATTATTTAAATGATTAGTAGTAGTTGTTTCTGTATAAGTAGTAGTGCCAGTTTTCCTATAAGTATATTGCTTATAATAAGGCTTTAACATTCCTCAATGTTTTAAGAAGTTGGAAAAACAAGACCAGTCAGTTTAGGGAAAGGGGACCATTCTGTATCCGCGATTGGCTGATTCATAGAGGCGGTGTCCAGACTTCCTCGTGTTTGATTGGTTTCTTTCAGAGTATGTGACCAATGAGAGTGCAGATTTCTACTGGATACTGTGAATGACAATTCAGGAACTCCTGTTCGCACCGCATGTAGCGCAAAGAAGGAGGCGTAAACACTGACAGAGCTAAGGTAGCCAGCGAGGTAAGCAATAAAACAGCACTACAAATGATTTAATCAACGTAAATGATATTCGTGTAGATTTGAAAAACGACACCGTGTCAAAATGAAGAATTGCAGGGAAATCGGACGTTTAGTCCGGTTTCTTTTGTAAAAACGCACGGGTTTTGTTTGGTTTGAATAACTGTGCATCGGGTTCTCGCTCCGGCCTGCTAACGTTAGCTCCTAACAACGACTTTGGTGTGTGCGCCCGGCGCGGGAAATGTAGTTTTTATGATGTATTTACTTTAATATCCATCGGAAACAATATACGGCAAATCTATTTTGCAATAGGGGTCGACCCACGTCTTTCTTACTGTGCAAATAAGCTTGGTCGTCGACTGAACCGTGCTTCTTGGTCGTGGTCGTGAGGTGGTCTGTGCTAACATGTGCTAACCAGCAGCCGCACCACTGTCTCGCGAGTAACGTTACGCAGAAAAGTCAACGTGACTAGGCCAGCGTTAGCGTAGCTTCAACCTTTGGCATTTGATTCAGTTTCAGCCAGGAATCACGGTCAATACAGTCTTAAAAGTTATTTTTTACGCAGAATTAGCCTTCGAGTTTGCTAATTTAACAGATGCTCATCACAACACGATGGGATGGGACTGCCCTCTGGTGCTAGCATTCTAATTTAGCACGCAACCCACGACATGCTTTCATGGCCGTTTCTGTAACGTTAGTAGTCTGGCGTGTAAAACCGTGTTACAATACATCGAAAAATAATCTTAACTAAAACAACTCTGTATTACGAATGAAACGAGCCTTGATGATGCCACAGGAAAAGCATATTTCATTTACTATTTAGTGAATTAGTATTATGTAAGACACGAGTTGAGGCCCTTGGGGCATATGAGTGACCATTATACAAAATTAAAGCAACAAGTTCACCTTTGCAATCTTATTCAAAGGTGATTTAAATGCCATCGACCACATTTTTTTTTCAAACAAAACCATAATTTGGATACTCATTAGGATTAGCTTGATTACTCATTAACTCACATTCTTCCCGACTTCATGTCTTTAGCACCGTCAGCAAACAGAAGTTTGGCTTATGGCGATCCCAACATAATTCCATTGAGAAAATCATGTAAGTTAGCTTAGTAGTTAACTTAGTTGTAGTTTGACGGCCAATTATGATAGACACCAGCTGAATAATGTACTTTACCCCCTTTTGTATCATCATAGATTAGATCCCCCTGTTAGTCATTATGGTAGTCTGACTCCTGCAGACCTTGTGTGTAAGTTGTGTAGTATCATGTGACTTCGGAACAAAATGTATGTCAACAATCATTGTACTCTGAAACTATTTGTAAAATGATAAACATCAGATACTTATTTGCAAAGAAATTAGACATTTATAAACCTGCACCAGCATGGTTTTTTCAAATGTGTGAATAAGGACATTCTTGAAGACATGACACATGTCTATACTAGCTGCCCCTTTAACCCCCCCCCCCATATAATCAGCAACAGCTGTCAATGTACAGTTTCTATAGCTTTTAATAGTTGTAATATGTATTGACAAACAGGTTTCCAAGCCACATATGACATAGCTAAATATCTGTTTGTAAGTTGTTGAAACAGATTTTGCCACTAATGACTAGAGTAATGTGCCAGTTAATGGTTTCAGGGATCAACAGCATACTAATCAGCTTAATTTTAAAATGAGGGGTCATCTTCTAAGCTTCATTGAGGCAAAAATGCATTCATATCCCCCTTATATATCCTACCAATTATTTCCTGTCAAAAGCTAATATGTCATGTGCAATAGTGTTACGGTGTAGACTGTGTGAATTCAAAGGTGCTAGTAAATGTATTTCCACTCTGAATTTGGATCACTAATGGCATGTTTTTGTTTAGGTAATGGACATGAGCAACAGCAACGATTGCTACCAGTGTGGCCGCTCCGGGCACTGGGCCAAGCATTGCCCCACTGGTCAAAGTGGTGGTGGTGGTGGTGGTGGCGGCGGTGGTGGTGGTGGTGGTGGTGGCGGCGGCGTCGAAGGTGGTCGTGGCGGCGGTGGCACACGTGGACGTGGCGGCAGTGGCGGCAGGGGTCGAGGACGAGGCAAGGGTACTATCTACTACCTAGGCCACACCTAGTATAGGATCATTATCACTCTAACCCATATTATTTTGCACTAAAGACATGTTATTCACCTATGGCTGTTTTGTGGGGTTATGGTTTTTGTACAGCATTCCCAATGAAACACTCATTTGTGGACAACCCTTTGGGGAGTTCAAGCAATAAATGTAAACATTGTCTTTTTTTCATCTTTGTATACCAAACTGTCTTTCATTACAGAGATGTTCTGTTATCGGTGTGGAGACCAGGGACACATGGCCAGGGACTGTGACCAAACTGAGGATGGTGTGCATTGCAGTTCTAAATTCTTCCATTTCAGTTCTAGTTGGTTGGTTTGAAGTGGTGTTCTCTTACACCACAGTCACCGAAGTTATAACAATATTGATTACCACGCTTCACACAACAGTAAAGTATCCATACAACTTAACCTTTTTATATAGGACAAAACTTTTCTTGAAACGGTAATGGATTTGTCAATAAACTATTTCTCCCCCCCCCCCCCCTTTTCAGCGTGCTACAACTGCCACAGGAGTGGCCACATTTCCCGGGATTGCAAGGAGCCCAAAAAGGAGAGGGAGCAGCTGTGCTACAACTGCAACAAACCAGGCCACATGGCCCGTGACTGTGAGCATGCCAACGACCAGAAGTGCTACTCCTGCGGTGGGTTTGGTCACATCCAGAAACTTTGTGATAAAGTGAAATGTTACAGGTGAGTTAAGTCCAGACTTCTTTAGTTACTTAAGTTTACTCTAAAATAAGTTGTCCTAATTGAATAAGCTAACGATTTGTGTCACTTCTAGGTGTGGCGACATTGGCCACGTTGCTGTGCATTGCAGTAAAGCCAGTGAGACTAACTGCTACAACTGCGGAAAGGCGGGCCACCTGGCAAAAGATTGCCCCGAAGAAAACTGCGCATAATCAGTGCCCTCTGTTGCCCCTCCTTTTTTCAGATTGATGGTTGGTTGTATTATTTTCTCTGAATCCTCTTCACTGGCCAAAGCTTGGCTAACAGAGGCTAGTCCCAGGCCAGTGAGCCTCTCGACATGTAATACAATGAAAGGGGTGAAAAAAATCTTTCTGCATTCAATACAAAAATGTTTTAGTTCGGTAGCGGTGTTATGTATAATGCTTTGTAAAAGAACCCCCTTTCCAAGCCACTGGTTATCAGAGATGAATAAATGGGACTAAACATATGAGAATCTATAGGACCTTTGAGCTTGTGAAAGTAAGCCTCAGTAATATGAGATAGAAGAAGGGAGTAAATGGAAACTGAACTTCCATGTAAGGTTATTTTGGTTTGTTTTAGTGGGATTTGAGTTGGCCAAGAGGGTAATGACATGGAAACTGTTCATAACATGATGCATTTCAGCCCTTCAAGCAGCTAAGCGGGCGATAACAAACTACATGTTATATTGCTACGATATAAACATTTTGGAGGTATTAAAAGAAACGTGTTCTTTTATAGAAAATCTGTTTACAATTTCAATATCACTTGGTAGTCCAAGGTAGACTTTTCCTTTATAAATGGCTTTGGAATTTTTTTTTTTTACCTTGGCAAAATTTAACAACATGAACAGTTGTAAGTAAGAACAGCAGAATTAGGAGTTATTTGGGAATGAAAAAATGTTTTCACAGAAATCAAAATGTTATTTTTGTACAATATCACTTAGACTACTGTATAAATACCATTTGCTTGTACTCAGTTTTTAAGTCGGAAGGAAAGTGCAACTGAAGTCCTAGAAAATAGAAATGTAATTTTAAACTATCAATAAAGCTGGAGGAGCACGGGGAGGTCTTGTCTGACTACTTGATTTCAAATGTCTTGCCTTAACAGATTCTACTATATTTTTTAAAATGTCTACATTTTTATATAAATACTTACTTGCTTATTTATCTCATGCATTCTACAAAAACAATGCGTGTAACACAAAAGATAATAATTTATTTAATCCTCAAGCATGTTGGCACTGCACCTAATTGGCAAGTCATCTGCAGAATTAGAGCTCAAATATCCGGCCACATTTTTTTCCTATTTTCTTTGCATCCATTACGTGTGTTCCATTTACAGAGCCTGTTGAGTGAAAAGGGGTGCAGGGATGTCTTCACAGCGCGCGTCAGATTTCACAGGCAAATTCCTCGAGGTTCTCTGCAGCAAATGTAGCCGCCCTGAGACACATTTATTGGGAGACAGCTGCACGTGACTGCGCATGTCGTTACGGTTATGTGCTGTACAAGTGAAGCCGAATGAAATGGAGAATAAGATCTGTAGCTTCGGTTGTCTTCGTGGTGTGCGAACAAAGAATGACAATTAAATATATATTCATAAAACATGGACTATGCGGATCAATGAGCTCGTGTTTCTGCAGCCGTCTCCTGTTATTCATCGACATGCTTGTGCGTGGAAGAAACAGAAAGCTCCACCTCGATGTCTAAAATGGCAGCGGGGGTTGCAGTGTTTCAGATGCAGCAGAAGCTCCACATCTCCTTCCGCCAAAGATGCAGGAAAAAGACCCTCCTCATATGACGTCATCGGGTCTCGCCGAGTCAAATCATAGGCGAGAAAACCTCCGAGGACGAAAACAAGCCGAGCAGCCAGCGCGGCCCGAACCAGCCGGCTCTTATCCTTCATGCCGGGTCGTTTTTCAATTACATACAGTTTCTCTTTTAAAACCCGGTGCTAAACAAAGGAGATGAGGGGACTCCTGTCTTTTTACCGGGGCCTGTGCTCTCCGAGTAACCATCAAGCCAGACGCAAAACTGGGATTGTCGGTTCTCGGTGCGGGTTTTGCGGAACTCAGTCAAACAGCAAGGTACGGTTGGAGCTGTTGCTGCGACTTTTAGGCTAAACAATGCGTTGTTGAAAAGGCGATTTATTTTGTATTCGTTTCAGTTTTTGTTGTATCAAATCGTCGTTGCATGCCACTCTGATGTGGACGCGATGGAATAACAAGATCTGCAGGGATAACAACAGATGTAGCTTACTGTTTGTTTCCCCCATGAGGAAAAACCAAGCGCAGATACACCACGGTGTTCACAGTTAGTTTTTCTTCAGCCCCAGTGACCGCAAACACATTGAGGAAAACATTTGTTTACATATATATCTAGATCATTTTCCGATTATTTGTTAAAGTTTCAACCCCCCCCCCCCTCCCCCCCCATATGTAGCGCTATGTCATACTAAAATCAGTCCCTAATAGTAAAATGACACTGAAATGTAGAACAATACCGAAAGACATTATCAAAAGTACATTCAAATCATTTCACATTTATGTAGAAAAAGAGCATTTTACTTCTTGTACAGGGTTATAAATGGTTAATTTGCCATTTTGAGCCACATGATAGTAGGCCTATACATTACAATGTAATGAATAATTTCATCCCAATTCTGTTCTTTATCCTCATTTTGTGGCTATTCCTATGTGTAAAATAAATAAAGGCTGCACTTGTTGGATTCATTGCTTGCTCTTTGGCTGAAAAAGATGTTGCTGTTCTTTCTTTCTTCAGCCACAGCCAAGATTTGGGCTGTTGTTTGACATAGATGGCGTGCTGGTTCGGGGAAGGATGCCAATCCCAGCTGCAAAAAAGGCATTCGAGAAGTTGGTCGACTCTCAGGGAAAATTTGTGGTGCCAGTTGTCTTTGTCACAAATGCAGGGAACTGCCTGCGACAAACAAAAGCAGACCAGCTCTCTCACATCCTGGGAGTAGCTGTGAGTTATCTAAGTGTTGAGAGAGTTTGTTCTGTCTTGAATAAATACTCCAAAACTAAATTCTGGTTGTCCCCTATCACTTCTATTAACCTCTTCTCACACCTACTCTATTCCCAGATTACCCAAGATCAGGTCGTCATGTCTCACAGTCCCTTGAGGATGTTTACAAAGTTTCATGACAAGTGTGTGCTGGTGTCAGGACAGGGTCCGGTCCTGGAAATTGCAAAAAAGTATCCTGGAATTGTGCTTTGTTGTGTTTTTTGCTTACTATTCATTGACTAATAAGGCTAGCATATTACTCGTCATTGTCCTTAACTCTGTCTTTAGTGTGGGCTTTAATAATGTTGTCAGTGTTGATATGCTGAGGGAATCATTCCCATTGATGGACATGGTGGATCACAACAGGAGACCCAAACTGCCGGTAAGATATTGAAATCTTTTGCAGAAATAGATGACAATAGTAGAAATATCACACGCCTATATTTAGTCATAAACAACAGCACATGTTAAGCTTCTCTTCGTTCATTACAGTCCAATCCTGTTGGCAATCTTCCCATGGTTGAAGGTGAGCACATGTACCACTTATTAGCTGTCAGCCTGTATTTTAATTATCATTTATATCAAAGGGATATAATGTTTGTCTTTTATTTCCAGCTGTGATTCTGTTTGGGGAGCCGATTCGGTGGGAGACACACCTGCAGCTGATAATTGATATTTTATTGACCAAAGGTAACCTCAGCAATGTTCACCAATCCCAACAGATGCCTCACCTCCCCCTGCTGGCCTGCAACATGGACCTCATGTGGATGGCTGAGACACATTCTCCCCGGTAACCAGTGCTGTCACAAAAATACAAATATTTAATATAATAACATTGACAAGGAAAACACAGTCTTTAAAGAGTCCAAATGTAAATATACCCCTCTGCTTCCCATGATCCCATTTCACTCAGGTTTGGCCATGGGACATTTCTTGTGTGCCTGGAGAACATTTATAAGAAGATAACCGGCAAAGACCTGAAGTACGAGGCGCTCATGGGAAAACCCAGTGAGTTGACTTACCACTTTGCAGAGTACCTCATCAGAAGCCAGGCCATGGAGAGGCAATGGAAACTCCCCGTCACTTCACTTTATGCTATAGGGTAAGACACCATGTTTTTGTCTGTAATGCACATTTAGTAAAAGCATATGAAATATACTAAGAAAGCAACCACACATTTTCACAGTCTGAACACAAATGTACATCTAAGTAATGACAGAAGGCAGAAAGTAGTACCAAGGATACTAAAACCTGCCACCTGACTTAGATGACCAGTTATTGAAAGGGTTTGTCCTCCCTTTATAACTTAAGTTTGCAATTTTAACAAACTAAAAGACTGAGGAGTTGCTTAATTACCACAACTCTTCTCTTTCAACTGCCCGCAAGCATTATAGTCATCATATCACACCTTTCTTTCAGAGCTTGCAAATTTCACTTCAACTTTTTGTCACGAATGTTCCTGTTTTGTTGTTACAGCGTTGTTTTTCTTGGTGGAGCAGCAGAGAAACTTCTTGAATGCATCAGTATTCTGGCTATTTCCTGATCTCTTCCCTCTCTGCCCTCTTAGGGATAACCTAATGACTGACATCTATGGCGCCAACCTATACAACCGCTACCTGGACGAGAGAGTTGCTAGGAAAAACCCTAAAGCCGTTGCTAAGATGGTCTCCGCCACGGGGTCCACCACCGCTCTGCCCCAGGTGGAGGAGAGCCACAATCATTGGGAAAGCGAGCTGGCGTTGCCCTCTGCCACTTCCTGTAAGTCTGTCCTGGTCTGCACGGGGGTCTACAACCCCAACGAAGAGGTCCCGCCTGATTCCAGCCACTGCATCAAAGAAACCGTGTTCCACGGGCACCGGGACTTCAGGTTCGACCCCGCGCTGGTGGAGCCAGACTGCATCGTGCATGATGTAGCGGACGCTGTTGAACGCATCTTTGATCTGGAGAAGTTTGTGCCTCAGTAGAGTCGAGGTCCTATCCGTAAACAGGGTTATATGACATAACATATAAACCTGTAGGAGCCTAACACTGTGGACATATCAACAGGGCATTGACAAAATATGGGTCCTCTTCTTAACTGTCAACATTAAGAACAACTTTAGACAAGTTCATAATGTAAGTGTTACTGTCAACTGCTTTTTTATATTATTTTTGACTTAAATTACTTGTTTGGATTAAGGAACGATTTAAGGAACTGCCTTATTTGACCCTACGAAGTATTTTTTTAGATGATAGTTACGTTGTAGATAATTGAAAATTCCTTCCTGAAATCATCCTATATTTATTATAAGAATTTAACAGTGTTTTTAAGAAGCATATTCAGATAACGGTTTACCTTTATTCTGAAGGTGAATTTTTATTATTCCATTTTAAGACATTTATTTACCCATTTATCTTGGAAAATCTATGCGTGTATATGAGATTAATACATGTACTGTACTGTTGGATTTGTAGTATTGTCCTCTAATAGAAATGTCTGTCTGCATTTTTTGTAGTTGTGAGACCAGTATTTGCACAAATCATCTTTGTTGACTGTTACCATACCTTCCTGCCATAACCTGTTTATTATAAGGTCGAATATTCTATATCCAGAAACAAAAGCTACCTGGAAATGTATTAAGATTAAATTCCAATACGAATCAACAACTGTACCGTTCCATATCTGATCATTTACAGTTTTTGCACTCATTGGAAATACCTTACTGTAAGAAAATACATGGAATAGTTACACATGTTATGCATACTGTCTCTGATTTTTTCCAATAAAAAACGACCAACAACCTATCACAAGTAATCAAGACAATGATCATTCTCAGTTAGCGCAGTGTTTTTTTTTTTCAAGATATACACTGTCATACATACTCAGCTAGCTCAGTATTGAGTCATGGAGTGAGATCAGTTGTAAAGCAAATATAACATGCATAGACTGATAAGTATAATACATTCAGAGGGCAAAATAGTCCTCATTACTCTTATATCTCTAATTTGAGCTTATTTCTGTTATCAACTTGCAAAGATACTTTTTTAAATGGGTAAGTCATCATGTTTTTATTTGTAGCCTTCCCTGCTTTTATAAGTAAACTAGATTTAGGTTACAGAAATAAAAATCAGTTACCTAGAAAAAGTCTCAGTTGAAATGGCTGTGGCCGTTCAGCATTAAAACAACTTTATTGCAACAAACAAAGACAGTCGTTGTGCTTCCGTCAACTCTATTCTCCTCTAGTGTTTCAATAATTCCATTATAGTAGGTCCCTCAGGTAGCCTTTATCTTTATAGTGTGCTTCTTGTGCAACACTGGCAGTAACTCCATGTTGATGAGTGGTTTTTCTAGTTCCCCCGCACAAATGAGAGAATCCACAGTGACCTCCAGCGGTGCAGTGTGCAGCCTCCTCCTGTGTTTAGGCCTCAGTGAGCGCAAAGAGTCGGCCTCCAATCCTAAATGTCTCTCACAAATGTACAGTGTGAAGCTGGACGTTTTTGCTAGTCTCGAGCTCCACAAAAGCAGAAGAATGAGGAAGCATAGCATCACTCCAATCACAGTGTTATAAGTACTATCAGTACAGACTGTCAGCAAACAGGAGGAGAAGTATTCATCGCTGAGTTCAGTGATGGCTTTCTGAACCACAGAGTCTGGGCCGGCACATATCGGCTCCTTTAAGACAACGGCCCTGTTCCTCAGCAACCAGCTCCTCAGGTATTGGATCCTACAGTCGCAGTGGAAGGGGTTTCCTGAAAGTGAGACCTTTTTCAGAGCAACCAGTCTGTCAAAATGGCCGGGAGACACTGAGGTGAGCCGGTTGTCCTGAACATGGAGCTCTGTGGTGTCTGAGGGCAGAGTGGGCAGCTCCACCAGGCCTAAAGAGCTGCAGTTGACCTGCAGACCCTCAGGAAGGAGAGCTGAACACAGGCAGGGCCGACCAGTGGTGTGTGCGCTTGATGTGGCCCAGACCAGGAAGACAGCTAAGATTAAACTGCAGAGCATCCTGTTGGAAAGGGAAAGAGTATTCCAATACTTTCACTGTCATTTCCAGTTGAGATAATAATAGGAGCAGGGAGGATTCCTAGAGTGCAGCACTAAGCCAGTTGTTATATTGGAGAATCCTAAATAAAAAAAGTGATAATTAAGATGTGTATTAGAACAAGATAACGTTTCTTCAGAATCTTGATTTATTGTTTATGTCAAAACTGATTACATCCATTAGGTGAAATTAAATATATACATCTTTTAATCAAGAGATACAGGCAAATGACAAAGTGAATGATACATTCCTTGTTTTCTTAAGTTACACAACAAATACACACCTTTTATAGTCCAGCCAACTTGGAACTTACCTCCTGCGGTGCCAGTCATCCTTAAAATATAATTATGTGTTCATTGTTTTAGTCCGTTTGTTGCACAGCCGATACAGAGCGACGTCAGTATGAGGAACGCACCAATAACACTGCACGATTATGCCGCATTCACTGTGAAGGAACCCCATCTGCTTAGAGGAGATAAGAGTTTATCTATTAACTAGTGGCGGAGGCTATCTTAAGCTCATCCACACAATGTTTGTTACTGACATCCGCTGCAGTGATGAGGGCTAAGAGGGCTTTATACTCCAGAACACAGCTGGGAGCATGTACAGCTTTATGTGAATTTAAAAGTACCTATGAGATATTTTGAAAGCCAAATATTAAATTAGCTTCACGCCAAAGAGCAAATGTTTCATGATGGAGTTCTAGGCTGCAAAGCAGAAAGGAGGTTTATCCAAAAAATAATGTCACACTTCCACAGCCGAGTTTGAAAGATTATTTCCACTGGCTGATCCTATGAGGAACTGTGTGGCCAGCACATGATTCACCAATAGGTGGTGTAATGGCACACATTTCCACATGATTTTAAAGCACTTTAATGTATGCCCTCTAGTGGAAATGCTGCAACACTTGGAAATGGAAAGTAATGATTGAGCCTTGAAGTGGAAGACACTGGAGCCTAAAGATAAGGCTCCTTTGCAAAATGCATTAAAGAAGAAAAAGAATTTAATTTCCCTTTGATTCGCAGTGACAGCTGAATCAGAGCTCAATAAGATGAGGCATTTTCTACTTTATACACACTGGAGAGCAAAAACAACACATGCGTACCATAAGTCATATATTCGTTTATTTTGCGTTCTCAACATTGTCACAGTTGAAGTTTTACAATAACTGGGGTCTTACTGACTCACTACTCACTGTACAAACAGAATGCACATATAAATGAGGCCATTCTTGTCTTTTTTCTTTTTAAATGTGTCTCACGCCAGACTGAACAGCTTGCAGCAGGATGTGTGTTTTTTAGACGCGCGTGTGTGTGTGTGTGTGTGTGTGTTGGGGGTTGTTTGTATGAAAAGAGAGCTGGATGTGAAATGGCATCAAACTTCCTAACAGTCTGTTTTTGAGTTATACAGCACATGTCTGTTCACTGGAGGCAGAGACAATCGATATGTTCATATATCACCCCCTAATCCATCTATGAGGTGATGTGTATACATCCGGATCTTAACTGCAGATATCAGAATAGAGTACTGATCATATACACACTATGTACAGCTGATTCAACCCCCATCTTGGTCCCTTCATTAAAGATAAACCATCCATACAAGCAGTTCATCTGTTTGCACACCAGAATCCCATATTTACACGATGAAAGCCCTCAGCAACAGAAGTGCAATGTTCCTTTTGTTTGTAATTTACACAATGGCTTTTTGCTGATGAAATGCATGCCGAGCTTCATAACTACCAGCTTAACATAGAGCAACAATAACACGTCAACATCAGGAAAATCAAAATAAATCAAAACCAAAATGTATAGGCTGATTTCTTCCCCATCAGCTCACAGTGAATAGGACACATGATGATCCATGCAGTGCATTGTTGGGGTACTTTCTCACAAAGAATGAATTGAGACATTTGAAGCACTACAACACACACCAAAATAAACAGGTTCCTCGGTTTTTACATCACCCCAAGATTTCAGAATCATAGCAAAAAAATACAAAATCCATGGAAAGACACATTCAACTGATCATTAATGTCTCGTATGTGATATGTGTGTCATCTGAACGTCCTTGAGGAGAAATGTGTGAGAATAAGCCTGACTTATGGCAATGGTTTTCTTTGTGAATGTTAAAATACATTTACAACCTGAATATTGGGACAAACTGTTTACTGTCACTAATTTACACACTAGAATAGACTCTTATTTGTAGAATGTAGAAAGTTATTCTTTACATATACCCAGTTCCTTTGTTCAGTTTGCATTTTGTATATCATAACTGCAATTCCTGAAAAAAATGAAAGTGTTCTTTCATATGTGCTTATCCAGCAAAATATTTCTGTTCAGCCCAAAGAGAAGCATATTCCTTTTATTAAAATATATACACACATTCCTCTTTCCACTGTGAACTGTGTAAGTAAGTATTTATATATTCTCAAATGAAAAAAGATATATTTTTTTCACCTGAATCTCGTCCTGGACAATAAGATAACAGAGTTCCACTCTCAGTACAAGTCTGCATTTTCTGAACATGATTGCACTTAAACTTGCTATGGTAACACTGATTCGTTATACAATGTGCAGAGGATAGCCTCACATTAATAACATTACATGCAAAAATCACTTACTAGACATTCCACTGAACTCCAAGTCTGTACCTCTCATACGACCACGAGGACAGCCACACATTAATTTACTGAGAAAGACTCTGACAGGGGTCAAAACAAATATAAATAAATAATGACGCAACACGGAGAAAAAAAACGTACAAATTGGAGGGACACCTTGCTTGTTGTTAATGTACAAAATCAGAACAAAGATATTGCACATATGATAGAAAAAGATGAAAAAAATACTTCACTATGTAGGAACTGATTTTATTCACTCACCAAACGTCGTTGGCAAATAAAAAAAATATACTAAACAAGGCAAAAGAAGATTTCAAACGTGTTTCTGTTTTAGAATTTAAGAGTCAGGAGAGCAGCTGTCACATATTTTAAAGGCAACAGACTTAACATGTTCAACGCGTTCTGCGGGTCCTTTTGTAACATTTGAACTGAGACCCCCGAGGGTATTTAAAATGTATTTTCAATCTTCGTTACTTTTTACAGTTTAAGCAGCCACAGTATGAGTAGTAAACTGAGATTAAAACAACCAACCAGCCCAGTTTATCATTCAGGAGTTGACAGGAAAAGTCTGCTTTGAACCTCAGTGTTTCGAGGCCCATATGGAACAGCTGTCTTCCAGAGGCTCCGTCTGATCCATTTGAAAGGCAAAATTCAGATTATAGGCCGACTGAGTTCACTCCTTTCAGATCTTCATCCTGTCACCCCAGAGTCAGTATAATACTGATAAAATTCATTTTTGCGGATAATAATAATTGTAAGTATAATCTTACAAATTACTTAACGCACAATATACTGTACATGAAGTCTTGACTAAATAGATTATGCATTAATAATTGGCACATTTATTTATGAGAGCTAGGAGACAACACATATAGCTGTCATCTACAGTAAATACAGCACTAGAACTACAATGACTGAGACGGTCGGCTCAGCAGTTTACCTGTCCTTTGATTTAAGTTAGTATGAAATGATTATATCTTCACTACGCATGAGCTCTACGCGAGGCAACGACACATTGCATTCATATGATGGTAGGATCTGAAAACCAAAGAGTTGTAAGTTGACTTCTGAACGGCTGTGCACAAGAAATGATGCCATCGTTGTGACAGAGAAAACAGTCAGCCACACCTTTCCTCCTGATTATGTGAAGGTAAGACCGGTTATTGTAGGAATGAAGCAGTGGGGAGCGGCTTGGTGAGAGAACGCATTTTCTCTGCAGCCGTCACGGCCGGGCGGTGTGTTTGTGTGTGTGTGTGTGTGTGTGAGTGTGTGTGTGTGTGTCTCCCCCCCACAAAAACCCTGATAGGGCCAAGCCCATGATCAGGCAAACTTGTAAAAGGCCCCTGGTGGAACGTGTGAGTCCGATTTCCATCCTGCATATTATTTAGAGCTGGAGGTGAAAAAGGTGCCTGCGTGTGATTGGTTCCCATCACAGCAGCGGTTAAACACAGTGGACAGGCCATAGAGTTCTGCTGTCAGTCCCTTTGGTGTTAGCAATTGTCCCTCCTTCATAAAGTTCCTCTTCGCTCCTCCTCTCTGCGTTAGGAGCATCACACTACGGTGCTGATGCCACTGTGTTTAGCTTTGGGTCCGCCAGGCGCCGAACCCACCTGCTGACTGTGGTGGTGAGGGGCATGCTGGGAGTGTGAGGCGTGATGGGAATGCTGGCTGTAGTGGCTGTGCTGTTGAGGGGGGGGTTGGTGTGAGGTGTATCCCGGGTGCTGGTGGTGCTGCGTGTGGGGGGGCGGTTGGTAGTGGTGGTGGTGGTTGTACGGCGGGGGGTTCTGGGGGACTTGGCAGTACTGGGAGTGGGGAGAGTGGAGCTGCACTGTGTGTGCCGTCTGTGCTGTGTGATGCAGGTTGGTGGGGTGGGGCTTGTGGGAAATGAGAGTGGGTTGGCCGGGGGCGGGGTAAGGGGCGTGGCTCAGCGATGACGGTTTGCCTCGCTTGCTGCCAAAGAACGACCCGAGGATGGAAGTCGATGCGGAGTTGGGGATGGAGGGGGGGCTGCGGGGGTCGCCCTCGTGTGGCGTGGTGGCACTCCGCCGTGTGTGAGGACTGCTAATGATGGAGCCCTGCAGGCGGGAAAGAAAGGTAACAGCATGGCCGTCAGACACCGTGTAGTGCTTCTAAACTACAGCTACAGGGAACTAGCAGGATGACTTCACAGTTTTCTTTTTTTAGATAAACAAGTAGCAAAATGTTATAGGGCATGCAGATGAGAAACTCAAAAAAAGTTTTCATGGTAGGCAGCAGGAATATTTCAGCTTCAAGATGAAGGGAGCCTATTTTCAAAGGAGCTGGGCTGTAAAGGAGCTAACTGGCTTGAAACAGTAAATCTGGAACAAGAGTAATTAGATAAATACCATTAGGAGCATAAATAAAGTCATTAACAGGGGTAGAAAAGACAACATTTCATCGTCATTGCAGTCAGTGTGCCAAACCCTCTCAGAGTCACACATGCAACTTGTTATAATAGTTCCCACATGCAGAGGATGTGACAGGCAATCCCAGCATCCACACGTTAGCATTCAACTAGAAGTCAGGAGGCAGGAGGAACTAAGCTCTTGTATGCAGACTTCACTTTTCCTCCTTGTCCTGGGTCCAACACTGCTGACTATCCAGGTGTGAATTCTCCTAAAAACAAGCGTTTCCTTTGGCACATGCTTCATCTAAGACTAGAGAAACACCACATGGCATCTTTGAAAGCCGAATGACATTTTCAGGGTCCCAGACTTCAACCCAACACATGAACTCATGGACACATGAAATGAGGGAAAAA